GCGGCCGCCCTCTCCGCCACAGCTCCTGCAGTTAACGGGGAGCTGGGCAGGATGAACAGCACAGCAAGCACATTTCGAGAAGAGGAGAGCTTCCCTCCTCATCCAAAATCACTGAAGACTATTATTTAAAAGGAAAAAAAAAAAAAAACCCACAACAAAACAAACCGAGAGTGTTCTGGCAACCTGCAAAATACAGCTGGTTGAAGAAGCCATTTAGGTTGTCAAGGGTTTCTGTCTTCAGATGAATTTGCCTGGCTAGCTGACACAGGCCAGATTTGGGGGAAAAATATGAAAAGGGTTTTAATTTCTATCCCCGGCTTTTATTGCGCGCAAACATGCACAGTCATTTCTTTCTAAGGTTTCCAATTTGCTAATTGAGACATTTCCTCATGGAAAAAGAATGTCCTGGGCTAAGGACCAGGCTGCTGGCACTGCTCTGCACACCGGGGGAAGCTTAGGTGAGGCGTGATGCGAAGACGAGACAGGCACATCGAGGTCTGAAGGCAACTATTAGCCACCACGGACCCCAGACGCTTCGCGGGCACTCTCTGGCACCGATACCATCCGGCAGCACCTACCAAAAGACAGACAACATGGCTGGAACACGGCGGGGGACTGAAATAAAGTACAGGACATCCTATAGTATGTTCTTCCTGCCGCCGCAGATGTCTAAGTCACATCACTGGGCAAGCCACATCGGGTTTGGGAGACTTTTGGAGAAGGGCAGGTGGGAAACCAGCCCAGGAAACTGGAGATCTAGAAAGAGTTCTTCCCAGGCATCTATTCATCACGAAGAAATGTGTTAAAAAAAAAAAAAAAAAAAAAAAAAAAAAAAAAAAAAGGGGGGGGGGGGAGGAAAAAAAAGAGTCTGGCCTGCATATAAAAAAAAGTCTTCTGTATCTTCTGTATGCTTGCTAGAGTGATAGAAGTATTTCTTCCGCCCTCAAAACACACAAGATAGGACAAATCAATTTTGTTCAAAATACTAACAAGATAAAGAGCCAAGAAAAGCAGTTTTGGGTCAAAACAAGCCCAGAATATTAAGGGAGAAAGGACCAAGGAAAAAACAGCTGGAAACACATGAAAACGGTTATAATGGGAATATGACTGCTGCCACAGTTACGGCCTCACCGGCATGACCTCTCATGGGACCAGCTATGTCTGTCTTTTTTTTTTTTAATATGAAAAAAGGAATTAAAACCGTTTTGCAGGCTCATGCGGAATGCACAGGGGACAGAGAGGGATTGCTAACTTTATATAGGTCAAACATCATCCATACGGGTTCACATAACATTCAGTACAACCACAGCCACCGCATAGAAATTAAGCTTCAAAGTACTCCGGAGGGATCCCTGGGAAGTTTGCTCTCTCCTACCTGAAGAGCAGCAGAACAGTAATTCAGCTGGGATCCATACCTGCTACAAGTGAAGGGGGCTGGAGAGCGATTGCCCGTTTCTGCCGCTCCAGCCTGGGGGAAACGAGGACGGAAAACACGGGCTGTCATAGAGAAGAG